TTTACTAATAATAAGAGGCATTAAACATTAAAACTGTGATTACAGTTCATTTATAAAATTGCCAATGCTTTAAAAGAAAAAATATTACCCATATTTGACTTGCACGTGAATATATATGACCTTGCCTTATTTTCCTCATGTATTATTATTTTTTGAAGGGGGGGGCTTTTTTAGTTAAGTATCAAAACTGTCAGAGTTAGCGCTTCTACTGTCACTGTCACTGTCACTGTCCTCCCATTGTTCATCGATTTGCTCAAGCAGGCCCAATACCATTTTGAGACTTGTTGTTACTGGGTTTGGCATATTGAATACGTCACAGGTAGCTTGCCAGTCTTTGCCGTGCGAGTGAGATACACTCTGTAGCTTGCCGGGCTCTCTGAGAGGGGCAGAGGAATCGAGCCCAGGCCTGCCAGGCTGGCTGCGCGCAAGGCAAATGCCCTACTGCTGTGCTATCACTCTAGCCCAGTGCTTTTACTATTGTATTAAATCCTAAAATAATATATAAGGACTGATAAAGATATGGAAAAACAATGCACTCACACACCAGTCTACTGACCTCAGATTCCCTTATAAGTGGAAGGAAGTCAGAAAGATATTTCAGAGAAAATGTTGGCATGAGCATACTTGCGCTGAAATGTATATTACATATTGTTATGGAAATCAATGTCATTAAAGGGGGGATATTAATGATTGGGAGAACAGTACAAACACACACACACTCACATATGCATGAATTTCTCTTTTAAAGACCAAAATATAAGCCATGAAAAATATCTGAAGAATATAAAATTTAGGGCCAGTAGATAGTATAAGGTTTAAGCAAAAAGACAAGAATAAGTTTTAAGCATTTCCAAGTGTGGCCCCAATCTCCCATAAGAATATAAAATATAGATGTTTATATTATTATTTTTTTATTCTTCGTTATTTCTTTTTTTTTTCTTTTTGGATCACATCCAACCGATGCTCGGGGCTTACTCCTGGCTCTGCACTCAGAAATCACTCCTGGCGGTGCTTGGGGGACCATATGGGTTTCTGGGAATCGAACCCAGGTTGGCCGCGTGCAAGGCAAATGCCCTACCCACTGTGCTATCGCTTCAGCCCCTATTCTGCATTATTTCTGAATGATATATTATTAAATTATTTCTTTCACTCATTCTTTCATTTTTGTGACTCTGGGTGGTAAGACCTAGGACCTCACACATCTGAGACATGTGCTCTTCCATGAACCACATCCCTAGCAATTATATTCTTATTTTTAATATTTGTTGTTTATTAATTATTCAGCAGAACAGATTAAAACCTTAATTTTTAAAATCCATTTTAGTATAGTGAGTAGGACTTTGGTTAAAATTGAAATTGAGGCCAGAGAGGAAGCACAGGATTTGATATGCTTGCCTTGCATGTGACAGACACTGGTTCAATCCCTGGCACCATATATGGTCCCCCAAGCACCACCAGGAGTGATCATGGACGCTGAGAATGAGTAAGCCTTGGAGACAGCTACCTGTGGTCCCAAAACTAAAAGGAAAAAGTAAAAATTGAAGTATAGAGTTTATGTTTTCTGTGCAAGTCTAGATTAACTAATTTCAGATTGTTTTCTCCCCTAAAAATTGACTACAGGGTAAGCAACGTGTATGGGTTTTAAAACCATAAATTCTAGACTCACTATTCATATTTATAATATCAAATGTTTTGTACACTAGACTAGAAGCCTCCAAATACTTTTTACTTTAATTTCACTTATTGACAGAGTGTCCTTGGTAAGTCTCTAAAACTTCTAATGTCCCATATTCCTTCCTCCTCTAGAAATTTGAGTTAAAAATAGCTACTAGGCTGACCTCATGGGGCTGTTGGAGGAATTAAGTGAAACAATGGCCTCGAGAAGGTTTTATAGAGCAGGAAAAGGCTAGACAGACAAGATTATTCCCAGTTTTTCTTTTTTCTTGGCACTTTTTTCATCCATTACATGCTTCTTGTGTTTTTAGAGATGCCATAAGTCTGATATGTTCAAAGTAAATGCATCTCAAAACCTGGGAAGATTAGCTCTTCACCTGCCTAAACAGCACCATTTTTGATATTAATAGCCCAAGATGGACTTAAATGTTGAAGAGTCACCAGTGTTCTACTTTCCAGCTGCCTGCTGCGTTGTCTCTGAAGCTCCAGCTGTAGAACGAAGTAAGATAAAATGAAATAAAAGGCTCATCGGTATTAAAATGGCCTCCCTTCTTCTATTTCTAAAGGCGCCAAACGCTTATGCTAGGTTTAGGCAAACACAGTCCTGATTATTTACATGGCTGCATGGAAGTAAACACTCAAGGAGAAAGAAACCTGATGCTTTTACTCAGCATGATATAAACCATTATCTCATGTTTTCTATGGAAAATAGTCTCAGCCGAGAAATTTGGTAACTCAGTAGGCTATTAATAGGATGTGCAATGTGATTACTCCTTTTGGATTACTTCGATATGTAATTACTTTTAGGAGCCAGTAGAAAGAAACACTATTAAATGATAATTATATGACTGTATTTGCTATAAGGTTTTGTAATAGCCCTAAACATGGGCATTTTCATTAACTGTTTGTCATAGATAATAAAGTCATTTTTCTTAAAAAGAAGCAATTCCCTGCAAAAGAAGTCATTCCACAGAGGATTAGCTTCCACTAAAAAAGGGCAGAAGAGCCCAATTGTGCAGTAGGCTGACTTGTCCGTGGAAAAAATTAGAGGATACCACCCAAGTAACTGAAATCCTTACAACTCCCCAGAGAGCAATCTGCCTTAGTACAGTTGTTTCAGAGGGTTGGCAGTAGCTACATATTGTTGTACCTCTAAAAAGAAAGAAGAGAAGGCAAGACCTGGAGATGAAGTTGATACAGTGAGAAAAGAAAGAGGTTCCATTCATCCCACTCATGGAATAAATGGGAGTTGGAGGAGACAATTCAGGAATCAAAACTGAAACTCAATTTTGGGATTATATGAACACATAAATCAAAGCCTGGTCACAAATCTTTAAGAAAATAAATAAAGAGAAATGGGCAGAAGAAGAAAGCAAGACCACCATAGTATTCCCAATTCACCAAGAAACTCACTATTGACAAACTAAAATATTTTGTTAAGAGTGTGTCCAAAGTAAAACTGACGTAAGACTAGGTTAAAGTAGCAATCCATCAGTGCAAGGCAGACCAGAAAGTAATCTGGGGATCACCTTCCTGTCCAGAACATTCTGAAAGTATTAGGAAAATTCTGAAACTAGAGGCAGGGTTTCTCACAAACTCAAAGATAAGCTAAGAAAGTTCATGGAAGCATCATTTAAATAGGCTAGATTAATTTAGCCTGCCCAATATTTTTTGAATGCCTACTATACACCAAGCTTTCCTTGTTTGGGAAACTCCACCTTTCCAAAATTATATTCCTGTACTATGTCCAGGTTTCGCTAGAGGTTCACAGACTAGCTGACAACAATTCTTCTGTCTCGTTCCTTTGCAAAATTATCTCTTAAAGGGGCTCATTGAGCATGCATATACATATCACAAAAACTAACAGGCAAAAGGAAAATCTTAGATTCATTACAAAACCAGAGAGCTCCAAGACTAACTTTGTGTTTTAAAATAATGGAAATCATCTACAAATTAAGTTGTAGGTCGTTGAGCTTCTGAGAGCCTGAGTTTAAAACCCAGATCTAGGGCCTGGAGTGATAGTGCCTTGCACGGGCCTGGAGTGATAGTGCCTTGCACGTGGCTTACTTAGGTTTGATCCCCAGAATCCCATATTGTCCCCCAAGCACCTCCACAAATAATTCCTGAGTGCTGAGTCAGGAGTAATCCCTGCGCATTATGGAATTTGATCCAAAAAGTCAAAATGGGGTGGGGGAAACTAGGTCTAACTCCCTTTGGCTTTGAGAAAGTTACTTGCTGGTTCTGTTCTGCATTTCCTCATTTTCAAAGAATGATAATAATCCCCCTTACTTATGGTGCAATTAAGAAAATGAAATGGATACTACCTGGTAAAGATACTGACATGGTGTCTGATAGCTGTTGGTATTTCTGGAATTGGTAATAGTGATCATGGTGGTAGAAAAAGTGTAAGATACTTATTAAATTAATTTTAAGTTTTGTAAATCTGATCTTATAAGTAACTAGGAGACAATGAATCTATCATTAATTAGTATATTGCAAGCATACCCCAAATGAAAATCCACATGCTCAGGAGGTCCACCTTTTATTTCTATGTCATAGAACAGTGCTTGTCTTCTTGGATTTTACAGACCTGTACTTTAGGTTTACAGGAACAGGTGCAGACTAAAATAGGTTGGCTGTGAGTCAAAAAAACATTTCTTTATTTTGGCTCTGCCCCTAGCTTTCCCAAAGAACTGCATCAACTGGCCTATGTGACAAAATAGCTACTTGGAATAATTTGCAAGTCTAGAACCTTCTTGACTGACAAAATAAGAACAAATTACACTAAATGTTGCCATGTTTGCAATGGCAAATGTTGCTTTGTGCATGCCCTTTGGGAAATAATTCTGCAGCCCCTTTTATGTCTCCAGCTCCAACCCAAGCACACTGCAGTAAAATTGTACTTGGAAAGGAAGGCCAGCTGAAAGATTACACTGCCTTACAAACTTGAACTAATCTCTTTTAATGCTTTACTTGATATCAATATTCATAAAGCCATACATCCCCCCCAAGGGTTCATCAACCACTTAAAAAAAAAAGATAAATGAAGTTGTTTGCATATTGACCCTGTAAGCTTCTCCACTTGGTTTTCCCACTGCTTCATGAATATCAAAGCCAACGAAAAGAATAAAGATAAAATTAGACTCACTTATTCATATGCACCAAATGAGGCCATGTCTCAAAATAAAGGTGGCATTATTAGTTCTTGTTTGTTCTTCAAAAGAAAGGCATTATTAAGATTAGGGAAAATGCTTGTGCCCTGCAATATAAAAGCCATTCATTTTTAATTTCTACTTCTCTGAATGTGTAGGAACCTTGGTACGAACCTCTGTTGTCTCTGACTGTGAAATTTGGATTGTGAATGATTTCAGGGGGTAGACTGAAGATAAATCTTGGTCCATTGGCCGTGTCATCCTTGTCATCTGCACTAATTGTAACAATTGGCTGAAAGAGAAAGGTGGCCATAAATGAATCATGCTGACATTGGCACATCATTTATTTTAAAAAGAAAGAAAGTGTGGCTCCTTAAGAAGCTTGGTTTTAATTAGAGAATGGAGAGTTACAGAGCTCATTTAGGGCTCTGAAACTTTCTTGGACAGTGAGAGAGATCCTCAAGGGAGCTAGTTGAGGCTCTTCAATCCAAATTCCACCTCCACTTGCTTTGCCCATAGCTAGGGATGGGCAAAGAAGATTTACCTGGTTAGAAAGTGGCTTGGTCTGATCACTCTCACAGATGAAACCTTCATAAGGGGCGGCAAACTTGGGTGCATTATCATTGACATCAAGTACCCTAATGGCCACTGGGACCTTGGCTTCCTGATGCCGATTGTCTGGAAGAGGAGAATTCAGTCAGTCAATATCAGGGAGGAATCCATATGTGGCCAAGATGACTCTTGGGCAAGGCTAAGCTTCAATTTACTCATCTGGCAAAACAGGCCAGCTGGTGTTGGCACAAAAGACAACTCACAACCTCAAGTACCTGAGTTCCAGGAAGACTCGGAAAGTCACAAATATATCCAACCTTTGCCAGATTTTGGCATATGCAATATGAAACAGTTTCAAATTTATTTAAATTCATCATCGAGGGATAACATCACCTGAAATACACGTCAATGTGAGTCCAGTCAGAACTAAACCACTTTTCTATTTCTGCTGACTCTGATGCTAAGGTTTAATTCTAAATGCTTATAATGGAGCCTGGCTCCCCAGAGTGTCGTCTGAACCAACACTTCTCAAAGAAGAGTCCCCAGAGCAGCATCAAAGGCCGCTCTTTGTGGAAATGAAAATTCTCAGGCCCCTCACTGACCTGAATTCAGAAGTGCTGAGGACAGGATCCAGAAATCTGCATTCTACCAAGCCTTTGCATGATCAAGTTTGAAAAACACTGGGTTAGAGGTAAACAGAACCCACAAGTCTTGGCTCCAAGGATTCTGCTGCTTTAGGTTTAAGTGAAACTGAGTGACAGGAAAAAGGGGGGAATCCTTCAGCAATGGCTTTCTTTTGAGTTTCAAGTTGCCGAGGGCTATTAGCCATTTGGCAAGTCTGTTTCCAGTTCTGCCAGGGAAAAATGAAACCATTTCCCCTTGTCTATACATCTTTCTTTCAAATGAAGAATCAAAAATAAATGTGAAAAACTAAAAAAAAAAATAGTTTTTTTTTAAATGATTCTATCTCAGCTGTCATTTTACTGAACACATAGAAAGTCTGAAGGAATAATATTTGGTAATGTGGAATCAAAACCCTCAGGAGAATACTCACGGATTTCTGCTGCAAACACAGAGATGTTCAGCCAAGCTGTTTCCTCTCTATCCAGAGGTTTCGTCGTTTTAATAAAACCATCCTCTGGATTAATCGTGAAAAACCTATCGAGGTCAGTATGACGATCGATGGAATACCTAAGCAGAATGCAAATGAAGCCATTAGACCAAAACATTACGAGTCACTTAATATTTTCTCCAGGCTAGATAGGTATCAAGCAACTTTATTCAATGAAATACTTCAGCTAGATCTTCTTTTAAATCAAATTTTCTTCTCAAACTTTGTACATGCATCTTTTATAGAAATCATTTTGCTACATTGGAACTTTTTATTCTGTACAATGAATGAAAGAGCTGCTTAGCATATTTGATTGAGAAATGTAATAATATGTTGCATATTTCTCCATATTTACTACAATCACGCACCATCTGAATATTTATAAAACTGCACTTGGGAAGTGGGTTCGCCATATTCCCAAACTGCTCAGAAAGTCACAAATGCTTCCAACCTTTGCCAGATTTTTGCATATGAAATATTAAAGCGTTTCCATTTCATTTAAATATATTATCAAGGATCATTTATGGTCTAAAAAATACCAACTTTCCCTTACTTCAAGACAAATGCTAGCTTTATTTTGAATGAATTGATTCTGTTTATTTACTTGGTGGATATGTTCTCAATTACCCTGGCCCTACACAGCAGAATGAAATATACAAAGCAGGCTTGGCGATGCAGGAGCTGCGTCTTCTCCTTTAACCAGTCCTGCCATTCCCCAACACATAGATAGAAGATTTTATCTACTGCAGTCCTCTAGGACACTTGATTTTTTTCTAATAAAAGATAATATGCTTTCCAGAATATTACTTGAGCAATTTTATGGCATGACAGATCATAGGGGAAAAGACAAGGCATTTATTGAGGTATAGTAACATAAAATAACTTGCCCAGGATATCCAGAGAATTGTAGGTAATAGAGCCTTGGCTTTGATGAGTCTGTCAAACTCCCTTTCCTTCTTAATGCCCCATTCTAATTCCACAATGGAGAAGAGCAAGTGAAGGTAGTGAAGCCAACTCAGGCAGCAAGCTAGGCTTAATTATCTGGTAGAGTCATTATTAGAACCTGCATATTCTGGTTCTAGGTTATGTTCTTTCCAGGAATGAACTGTATGGAGCAGCACTTCACAGTATGGAACACATGAGTTCATCCATTATATCATTTGGCTCCATAAAGCCCTGTGATAATGGACTGATGATCCCTTTTCCCCTTAAGAGGAAGCTAAAGACAAACCATTGTGCCCCTCGAAAATGCCAGTAGAGTCTCAAAAACTGCACCCTGATAATATTCATGTGAAAAGGAAGTAAAGTAATAGCCTTGGCCACCGCTGCTATTGAGAGTTTATTTTATAGTTGATGCAACAAGATACACACAGAGAAAGATCATTTCAAACATTCTTCCACACACGTTAAGAACACAATTTTTTGGTTTTATAAAACATTAGGTATAATTTAATACTACTCTGTATATCAGCTGAATGATGTTTTTAAAAAATCACATAAGATTTTTGGGTTTCAGCTTGTTTATCTCTAAGAAACAATAATATTAACAGCTCTAAACTTTCAGGTACAGAAAATAAGAATCTGTAAGAATTACAAGAAATAAGAGATGTTGAAGAAACATATCTAGTCTTCCACATACCATTCAACAATTAATGACTATTATGTTCATTATGTCTATTATACTGAAGAGTGATAATAGATATACTTCAAATATCAATCTATAGAGTATTGATATATTATTGCATTCCAGGGGAAACCAAAAGAGGCTTTTGATCATAGAAATATATAAATGAAATTAGGGAACTTGGTGATGAATAATACTGGCTTGGTAAAACAGTTGGCAAAAGAGGGTAAAAGAAGAAAAGACACTAGAAATCTGATGTAGGGATTTTTGGAAGGGAGAGAGATTGTTCCATAGCCAACTGGGATTACTTCTGACTGTACTCAGGAACCTCTCCTAGGAGTGCACTGGGAACCACTTGCAGTAGCAGCGATCAAATCTGTGTGGGCCGAATACATGGCAAGTGCTTTAACCCCTATACTATCTCTTCAGTCCTTAATGTAGTCTTTAAGGGATAAGGTACTAAAAGACTTAGGAATGAGGCAGATGAGGTGAATGGAACCCTATGAGATGAAGAAAGTACCAATAAGATTCAGGGAACATTTGGATGTAGGTAGGAGACGAGGTGAGTCATAGAGTTTTTACAGAAGTGTCTAAGCCATGGAGACACAGAGAGACACACAAAGTCAACTCAGCAGGGAAAGATTCTAACGGGGTTATACTGCCATATAAAAAGAACAGACTTCACTCAATTATCTATTTTAGAGTCAAGGTTGCAATCAGTTTTGTTTTGTTTAGAAAGTATGCCATAGTAAGTATGACCTCAAAGAGCTGTTTTGAATAATTGAGAGCAAAGGAAAAAGCAAGTGGGTGAAAATGTACGCAGACCGCTGACTAAGTTAATGATTAGAACCAGGACAAGTGATTGGCCAAGAGGCAGAAAATCTGGACCACAGACACCATGTTTGGCTCGAGTGGTAAAGACAGCCGAGTGGACAGAAAGATAAAAAGGTCAAAGAAAAAGTTGAGATTTAGTTAGTGCCCAAAGTCTGGTAAAAGACAAAAGACTAGTGAAGACTCCAGATGTGGTGCATCTGAGGCATAAAGACTTCACTGCCAAGGCAATAAGAAGGGAGATATTTTTCGGGAAAACAATGTGAACAAAATGGCATCTAATGCTACCAAGTATGAGAAAGGGGATCTGCAAAACGTCCACACAGCTAAGAGTTGAGGAGAACATATAAAGCCTCGCCTATTTGTTCATGGATACTAGCTTTCCTTCAGGATGAAAATAAAGCACTCAGAAAAGCAGGTAATGAGAAGACTCCTGTGGAATAGAGAGCTTTGAATGTTCTATTGGTTAGTCAACTCTAAAAACCGGGGAGCAAGTGGCTCAGGCAGGTTGGTTCAAGGATGGTACCGAGCATCTTTGGTTAATTATAAGCATGGAAATTGCCCGCAGGCTCAGAACAGCTACCATGGAAAACATGACCTAAATAATCAATCGCAGATGTGGGTCCTTGGGGACAATAAGGAACAGAGGAAATGAGCAGTTGATTCATAGGCTTTGATGTCATCTCTCTTCTGAAATGGTGCTCATTTTTTCACTTCTATTTTCTAGACCTTAACCAATTCGTTTAAAATTCATCCCTTGAACATTTTTGAGCAGCTGAACAGTGTTACAAATGATCCCTGGATGCTGCATAATGTATCTTCCTGAACAGAAAGAAGACAGTACTCAAACTATAAGGAAATATAATGACTGCTGGGTTAGAACCAAAACCTCAAAACAAACTCAAGGCAAAACTGGACAAAAATTCAGCTCACAACACCAACAGGTCTTATGAGTTTGGATAATTCCTGTCGTTCTCTGAACCTCAGTAGCTCTATCCATTGGACCTAAAGCAGTTGTAGCTTGAAAGAGTATCTAAGGGTTAACTTAAATATTAGTGCCACGTATTTGTCTGGGACAAAGAAGATGTTCAATTAAGAGTAATGTGGGTCTGGAGAGATAGTACAGTGGGTAGGGGAACTTGCTTTGCATGTGGCTAATCAGAGTTCAATCCCCAGCATCCCATTATGTCTCCTGACCACAACAAAGAGTGACTCCTGAGTACGGAGCCAGGAGTAAGTCCAGAGCATAGATGAACGTGACCCCAAATAACAACTACATCAATAACAATAAAAAGGAATAATTATCTTCCTTCTTTCCCAAGGTTAATGTTGAAGGGTTTACATGTGAAGGAATAACATTTATATTTAGGATTTGTTCCCCCTTTATTAAATGAGGTATCATAATTTACAATACTGTTAGTGATCATTTCCTGAATACCTCCCAACAACATACCCATTACCCTTTTCATTTGGATTTTTATCTGCTCTGTCAGCATTTTCTTTGGCCTAAAGAAATACTCTAATGTCCTGATTTTTTTTTCTGTAATCAGATCTGTTTATTCACACCCACCCCACGCCCCAGATTTTGTAGGTATGATTGACAAATCATACCAATACATCAGGATCCCAATATATCAGGATCCTCCGTGAGCTGTATTGCGGATTCACTACCAGGATCTCACCATTCTACAAAGAAGTGATCGTTGATGTCAAGAGAGGGGTGCGACAGGGTGATACCATTTCACCGAAACTCTTCAGTGCCACCCTCGAGAACATCATGCGACGACTGGAATGGGAAGGAATGGGAGTGAAGATAGATGGTCGGCAACTACACCACCTCCACTTTGCTGATGACATTGTTTTAATAACACCAAACATCAGCCAAGCGGCACAAATGCTGGCCGACTTTGACCGTGAGTGTGGAAAGGTAGGACTACAGCTGAATCTTACGAAGACAATGTTTATGAGAAACAGCCTTGTTCCTGACGCCCCATTCGCTCTCAATGGAATGACCATCTCTGAATGCAACAGCTATGTGTACCTAGGTCGAGAGGTCAACATGACAAATGACCTGGCACCCGAGCTGCGCAGGAGGAAGAGAGCAGCTTGGAACGCCTTCAAGAACGTCAAAGAAATAGCTAAGAGGACGAAGAACCTCCGGCTCCGGGCACATCTCTTTGATTCCACTGTTCTTCCTGCATTAACATATGCCTCAGAGACCTGGGCCCTACGCCAACAAGATGAGAACGCTATTCAGGTCTCCCAAAGAAGAATAGAAAGAGCTATGCTTGGAATATCACGTTTTACTCAAATGAGAGAATGAATCCGGAGTTCTGACATCCGATCAAGGATCAGGGACGCTGTCTCATTTGCCAAGGTGTCGAAAATCAGATGGGCTGGTCACGTAATGAGATTTAAAGACGACCGCTGGACTAGAGCTGTTACTGATTGGATTCCACGGGATGTCAAAAGACCGCGTGGCCGCCCACCTACCAGATGGTCAGACTTCTTCGTCAAGATCATGAACAATCGGTTTGAGGCCCTTCATGTTCCCGGAGCGAACAGATGCCATTGGGCTACACTAGCACGCGACAGGGACAAATGGAGATGTTACTGGCGCCCGCTCGAGCAAATCGATGACTAACGGGAAGTTAAGTGATTAAGTGATTAAGTGATTTAATGTGTGTAACACAGTTTGGATAGAAACATATCTTGTCTGATAACTATGGCAAAACTAATGAATATATCAATTACTTCACTTTAGTATCATCTTTTGTGTGTGCAGTTTGAATATGTAAAAGCTACTCACAGTCGGTTTCAAATATTCAATGCATTATTATTAAGATTTCTAGAATTTATAATTGAAATGTATGACCTTTGACAGATACTGTCTGTTACCTCACTTCCCAGTGTGGAAAACACCTTTCCAGCCAGTTTCTCTAAGTTTGACTGTTTTGAAATTCTATATTTAACTGATATTTAGGTTTAGGTATTTCTGCAAAAGATGTAGTTATCCTGGGCTTTCCCAGTCATATCATTGGAAAAGGTGGAGAACGAGGAATGTAAATGCTGAAAGAGATAATGCAGCCTTCTTTTGCTCTATTCCTCTCCCTGGTTTGTTGCCTATCCTTGCAGAAAAGAAATTCAGGAGAAAATTAATATCAGAGTAAAATAGGTCCCCCCCCCCAGGGAATATGAGGAAGACGGAAGAAAAATAAAGAAGAGAGGGAGAGGAAGAAGGAGAACAAAGAGTTGGAGAAAGAGGAGAGAAAGAAAAAGAGAGTAAGAGAGAGAGAACAAATGCATTCTTCTCCAGAGGAGCACTGTCCTGTCCTGTCCTGCCGTTGTTCATCGATTTGCTCAAGGAGGGCCAGTAACGTCTCCATCGTGAGACTTGCTGTTACTGAGTTTGGCATATTGAATACATCACGGGTAGCTTGCCAAGGAGGCTTTGCTGGGTGAGGGAGATACTCTCCGTAGCTTGCCAGGCTCTCCGAGAGGGGCGAAGAAATTGAACCCGGTTTGGCCAGGCCGGCCGCTGGCAAGGCAAACTCCCTACTGCTGTGCTATCACTCCAGAGGAGAGAGTAATTTTTTGTAGTTCTCTTAAATTCTTATCACAGCATTTTGTTTTCCGAATGGTACCTGAATTTTTGCATCTCCAAAGAGAGTATTCTTCATGCCTTTGGATCCTGTTAGCACTGGGGCAGGGCAATTTCTCTAGTGCTTCAGAAAAAGTAATTGCTAAGGGGCCCCGATCTTCCAGTCTGCTTCAGTAGGACTTATTTCACTTAATCCATTGCCCCTATCACAAAAGGCTGAGTTACTGTCTTTTCTAAGATAATGTTACATAACATGTATAGGCCACATTTTGCTATTCATCTAACCCTAGACACGGAATTTGTTTGCAGGCTCAGGCTACCATAACTAGTGCTGAATCAACATGCAAATGGCAATATCTCTTCTTCAACACATGGCTCTTTCGCAAAACGATCTAGGGGTGCCTTAAGTTGCAGATTGCAGCTGAATTTGCTCTTGGGGTTGTAGTTTATCTAAACTAGACAGACATGTTCTCGGGTTTCTTGTTGGTGTGCTGAGCAAAACGCACAGCCTAAGGAATGAGTTAGTTGTAGTGGAGTGGGCACTGTGGGGTGGACATCACACCTGATCTTTCAGTAGGAGCCCTGCAGATTTCCCAGGGGAAGTGACAGCCAAATGGGCATTAATGGGCATTAGCAACCTCGTGCAGCAAGTTAGAAAGGAAATGTAGGGAACGCCAAACAGGAGACAGAACATGTAGATGTCGGGAATTATGCAAGAAAATGTTCTACTTTAGAAAACGGAAAGAATGCTGTCTAGATGCCACCTCGAATCTTGGGGGGGGGGGGGGCGGGAATCAAGAGAGAGAAGCAGGACAGAGCAGGATGCAGAAGTGGAGAAGCTCAAAGTCAAATCTTCTGCTATATCGGAGAGCAGAGATTATTTTGAAGGGGAGGCACTGAGGAGCAGCTTGAGTACTTTTGTTGTTGCTCATGAACTGAAGTATGTTGTGATATTTAAATAGACACTTTAACCCATTCTCTTTGCCTGGAGGACTGTTGAGGGAAAAGTAAGTGGGAAGCTGGAGAAAGTCTCTGAGGAAGAATGGAAGGAACAGAGGTGAGAAGGAATTGCGGGAGAAGCCATGGAAGAAGAAACACCAATGGCAAAGGCAGCCTTCTTCACATTTACTTGATAAATGCCTGGACTCTATGGCTTGTGCTTTCTACTCAGTCTCTGCCTTCTTGGCCTCCTATCCTGATCATCTTCATCATAGCTTCATCTGTTATGAACTCATATCGAGAAAAACAGAGAAACAAGGTTCACCATCACTTTGTAGCTTTACTTTTTCAAAACTCACACACACACACACACACACACACACACACACGAAAGAAATATTTGTAATATATAAAAGCACCACATATTTTAGGGCATGTTGTGACCTCACTGAATTACCCAGATAAAGTTTGCTCTCTGAGTCTCCTTGCTCACTATCATTCTGGGTAAGCTACATTTTCATTTCCTATTTCCTCCCTAATTTAAAAGATAACAGTTCTTATCAAATAAAATTGAGGGGATCTATTAGTCTAACATTAGTATGTCTAACACACCTACCAGAGTCATTCGAGCATAGAAAAGTGTTCAATAAATTGTAAGTACCATGATTATTTCACACTTGAAAAAAATTAGTTTATCCAGAGGCCCAAAGGAAGGCAGCCTCAGATTAGCATCATCTCACCTAGTAAACACTTAGATCTATGTTCCAGAGATAAAATATGTAACTTGAACAAACTACCCAAAAAGGTAGTGGCAGAGATGGACTTGGAACACACAGTCTCCTGTGTCTTACTCTTGTTTACCTTTCATTGAACCAGATCATCTTGTCCCCTTTTTAGAAACTGAAGGATGTGGTTCTTGCAGGACCTTGCTAAAATGTCTTGCCTCCCAACAATCTCTCATTCAAGCTTTTAAGATAAATCTGCCTGTACCTTATTGGGCTGTTGGCAGCATCGGGATCTTTGGCATGCACTCTTCCAACCACAGTGCCAGCAGCTGCATTTTCTTGGACTTCATGGATGTAACTTGGGGCCAAGAACATGGGGGGCTCATCAGCATCTTCGACTGCAATCTTGACTGTGACGGTGTCCTTGAAAGGTCCATTGCTGATGAACTTCGGGTCGATGTGCACATTGGCTGCCTCAACCTTCAAGCTGTACGCTCGTTTGGTTTCAAAGTCTACGGGCTGGCAAGAAGGAAGAGAAGATTGACAACGAATTCCTTGAAAGAATAATGGGAGAAAAAGGCCTGATTGTTTTATAGGTCAGAGTGAATGGTTCCACAAAGAGAAAAAAATCAGTGTCTACTCAATATCCAATTACCTGAGCCATTTGGTCAGAAAATCAGACAAACCAATTGATGAAATGAGAAATGTGTTAAAATGGGTAATTCAAAGAGCATGACAGTTGCAGAAGGTCACAATACTTAAGACAACTTTTACTTTGTTTAACAACACTGTCTGAATCAGTCGCTAAAAATGATCAAAGGAACTGAAAACACTACAAAAATAAAGCACTATAAAAATCTTCTACCAAGTACTAAGAAAGTTTGTGATTAAAAAAATGCCTATTGAATATCAAAGAGAAAACATATGTATTGTTACCTGAATGATCCCCTATATGTAACACTTTTGGTCTCATTTTTTAATTTAAAAAACTAATTTAAATTAATTAAATTTAGTTTAAATTTTATTTTAGTTGGGGGCCTTTGTACTGGTGGTCAGGAGACCCAGGGTGCCCTATTAGCAAACCTCTACCAACTTGGCAAGTGGTTCAGTGAAAACGTCTGAAGATACCATACTATCCTGTGAGCCTTGCAATACTACGGGTTACCTGGGTTTCTCTGGTGGTGTTTGGGCTCTTCAAGGCCCCACTGGTATTTAGAGAACCAGATGGTACTGGGAATCAAAACTGGGCTCAGATGCCCTAACCTCTATGCTACCTTCCAACCCCAGTTAGTCTCATTTTAAAAGTTTCTGATTATATAACAGCCTCCCCATATCTGGAACCTTTATAAGCAGTGGTCAGTATAATGACTTTAGGTTGATTGTGGATAATTTTGGTGGGTGGATTTGTTGAATGATATTGATTTTCTGGTTAGTACAATTACTCCTTTTCCAGTGACTTCAGAAGTCAAAGAGGCCCTCTGGTTACTGTGTTAATTTTCACTATATCTGTTAAGCTTCCTAATTCCCTTTTGAGGTACCATGATACAACTAGCTTAAATGCGATCACATCACCTTAAGTGGCCCAGGTTACTTGCTATTTATGGCAAGGAACAATGGCAATAAAAATGTTTCTGATTAAAAACAATGCAGAAATGTTGTTAAAAATATAGGTCCAACGGGGCTGGAGCAATAGCACAGCGGGTAGGGCATTTGCCTAGCACGCGGCTGACCTGGGTTCAATTCCCAGCATCTCATACGGTCCCCTGAGCACCGCCAGGAGTAATTCCTGAGCACAGAGCCAGGAGTAACCCCTGCGCATTGCCGGGTGTGACCCAAAAAGCAAAAAATATATTTATAGGCCCAAATCAAAACATTGAAATGCTATATGAATGTTTACACATATATAAAAAAAACAGAGAAGCAGTCTCTGAATGCCTGTTGTTCTGGGGAAATACACGGCAGACACTCCTTAATTCTGAATGGGAGTTGGTACAGGGATCCATCAGTAAAGAGGGAAAAAGAAAGCTGTAGCAGAGAAATAAGTTCTCCTGCCCAAGTAACAGAACTTTCTAATTAGCACACTGGATGATGCTGAACTACCAAATGTTTGGAAAGAGTTGGGTCTTTTAAGGCAAGCATCTGCTTGCCGTGTGGTTGTCATCTGCCTGGCGAACACTAACTCTGAAAGGACATATAATTATAGGTCTTGGTTCTGACCTCATTCCACCAAACTCCAAAGTAAGGATTATTCCAGTTTCAGGAAGGCTAAACATCTTCAAACTCTTTGACATTTTTTTTAATCATCTTACTTCTCCATCTCCCAAGAGTTGGGGACCACTTCCTTTGCCTGAACCTAAATCTGCTTCCAGATGCTCCTTCATTCTGGGACTCCGCAGTGCCTGTATCCTTTGCTGCATTGCTGAGTAGCAGAAAGGAATGGTATTTATAGATTGAAGGTCTGAGATGGCTGCCATTCCTCAAACATCTCTACAGTTATTAGACAGAATAAGAAATGGGAATGCAATTACTCTGTGACCATTCAGGGAGAACTTTTCTTATCTACTGATGGTCTGAGAGCAGGAGTATTTTAAAACATAAGCCTAATGAACCAGAACCAGATTCCCACTAGAAATCCCCATTTATCCCAGAACTAAAGCAGTCATACTACAGTTTGATGCCTTTCAGAGCCCATACCAAACTCTCCGGATCTTCACAAACATTTGTTTTTATGTTTTTTTTATTTGATTTGAGGCTACTCCCAGTGATGCTTAGGGGTTACTTCTAGCTCTGTACTCAGGAATTATGCCTGGTGGTGCTCAGGGATACCAGGGATCAAACCCAGGTCAACTGTGTGCAAGGCAAGCTCACCGTTCCCCTGCTGTACAATCTCACTGGCCACTGAGATCTTCACAAACATTTGTATGGAATGCTTATCTTAGTCTCAGATTTTATAAAGTCATTGGATCATGAACCCAAGTCTCACTGTCAACTGTGAAATCATATTCCACTTCCCTAATTTTCCTAAGCTTCCTTAATTTTTCTTCTATAAGTCCTTCCAATGGAGTTCATTGATTATAGATATTTCTTGAACTTCTCATTCTGATAACTGAGGAATAATATAGCTAGTGATCATGTGCACTGATCATTTTGACTGAGCAGGCCACAGTGCTGATGGATGGGGAACACTAAAGTAGGTATCATTGGTTTACTCCTTCAAAAAAATATGTTAAAGCAGTTTCCCAGGAGAACATTTATATCCATGTTATGAGTAGTTGAAATAAAGCTAAATGAGGCAACACACCACATAAGCCATAAAAATCTTAATACCCTCTACTTTGTTAATCCCACCTCTGAAAATTCTCCCTGAGGGAATAATCCAAAAGAAAACAGAAACAAACAATATTCAAAAATACATAATATTTGTTATATATAGCAGAGGGTTATATCTAATCAGGGGGAAACACACACCCCAAACAACAAATCCAACTGTGAGGTTTTATTAAGAAAATAATGGTCCACCCCTAGGATGGGATATTAGGTAGTCATTAAAAATGATTATATATATTGTATAACAGCATGTAAAATGTTTATGATGTGACATTAAGTTAACAAATCAGATCATACTATGATTGTATTAAATGTTCATATGTCCACAGCTATATACGTGTGGGCAAAGAATATAAAGAAATAATCAAACTTAAACTAGTTTTATTGAATTGCAATATTCCTATTGTATTCTAATGCTGCTCTCACAGTGTTTTACAAAGAATTTATTTGGTTTAAAACTAAACATTTAGAAACTGCTGTATCTCTCTCCACAAATAGGGATCTTTCTAAGTCCATGGTGTTGCAATGCATAAGTCTCATTTTCTTCCTCAAGTCTAACAAGCCCCCTCCTCTGACTCAAGTCTCTTCTTTATATTGCCCTTGCTTTTCTTGAGTGACCACACAGAGAAAATTTTTTAACCATCCTGCAAAAAAGTTCTCTCTCTCTTTCTCTCTATCTCTCTCTCTCCTATCTCTCTCCCACCTCCATCTCCCCCTCTCTTTCTCTCTGTCATTAATACCACTGACACTTGTGTCTGACACAGAAATCAGTATTCAAGAATTATTTATTGTTGCGTAAGTTATTCAATGAGCTACTCTTCTTCCTAAATGCCTTTCAAATTCTTCATGTTCACCATTTCTATATTCTGTTCTTTGTTACTTCTCCCCGTTGAATGCCAACAATAATTTTTCAACTGCACCCATTGTGTGCCTCTTAGAACCCTCCAAACAGAACATGTTCTAAACTTTCTAAATGCAAGTCCTTCCCATGAGATCTTTTAACTTCATCTCCCTTTCCTGACCTATGTGTCAGTTCCTTCTTATCTATGAAGATTCCACTCAAGCATTGCCCCCCTGTAGGAAGTCATTTATGTCCATCTTCCCGTGTTCTATTGGATTGATTTTGCTTCGCTTCACCTCACCTGGAGAAACCAAGCTCCATTTTTTAAACTTGTCACAGCTGACGTGACAGGTTAGGTGTGTGCTTCTATCACCTTAGCGGAAAGAACAGGGATACTGCTATACATTCTAGAGTACACAGAACGACCCATTCCACCACTAGTTGTCTTCCTTAAAATGCTAGTAAGGGTGAAGCTGAGAAAACCCACTTTCAGTGCCTTTTCACTCGACTTTCTTGCTACATTGAGAGCTGCCAGTCACCAAGACACTGTCTCTTCACATTTAGATGCCCCACTTCTCATTGAAAGCTGCCTAACAAATAATATACTAATTGCTTATAGTGGAAAACCAGGTGAATAAATTTAAAAATGAAAAAAAAAGAAATGAATGTAAATATAATACTGTTTTGTTTTGCTCTGGGGTCACACCGGATGGTGCTCAGGGCTGCTTCCAGCAGTGCTAAAGGGACCATGGAGTACTGGGAATTGAACCCAGGTTTCCATATGCTTTGCATGTGCTTAGTTCTTTGTGCTGTTTCTCCATATCATTCAATAATATTTTAAGAGATTTATTTCTATGAGACCTACTAATTTTTCATAGTATTAAATCTTATAAACGGATTTTCAAGTGAATTCATCAATTGACTCTGTTCAGTCACTCCTCAATAAATCTTCTGGTGAACATTTAAAATTTTGTACTATATGGTTATGGAAATGAGGGGGTTTTTTTTTACTTTTTTTTAAACATCTCACTCTGTTTTGAACCCAAACATCAGTGCTGTATAGGAGATTATTTCTTTGCTTAGCATCAACACACCAAACCAGGGAGGAAAGTGCAAATTAATCATATGCAGAGAGATCATTTACAATGTGTGAGTTTCGTGGAGTGATTTAAATATTTCAGGATTTTAGAGACACAGGGTGTGTGTTTATTTCCTGAATACACTGAAAACAGGTGACAACCTTAGCATAACTAGCTACCCAATTATTGCAATAGCAAAACACGGGAGGCAGGAATTGCTGATGTCAGTGCTCATATGTCAGTGTCAAGTGAGAGGGACAGTAATATTAATTAATGAGGTAAGTCGACAGCTTTGTGCTATATGTAACTCACAGAGACTTTTCCAGAAGAGAAACTAGAGGGAAGAATTACTACATTATTTTATGTCTAGTGATCTCACTTCTCTTTTTTTGTTGTTGTTGTTTTTGTTTGTCTGATTGTGGGCCTTACCTGGGGGTGCCCAGGGCTTATTCCTCGAGAATTCCTCATTGAGGACAGTGCTCAGAGGACCATATGGGGTGCTGAGGTTCGAACCTGGGTCAGCCATGTGCAAGGCAAGTGCCTTACCAGCTATATTGTTGCTATTGCCCTGATCTCACTTTCTTGGCCACATTGTATTGTCATTAAGGTTCCCTTTCGAAGTGTCCAAAGTTCACCCCAATTTTTATATCCTTTAACAATAGGGTCTTTCCTACCTTCTTCTTATTCTCTGGTCCTGGAATATTACCCATAGTCAACAACAATGCTTTCAAATATTATAAAAAGTCAGCATCTGGAAAACTTCTCTCCTGCACCCTGGACAGAAAGACTCCTGCACCCGACTCTGTCTTCCCCCAGATCCTGGCTTCTTTATTTACTCTTCAAATTAATTTCTTTATCACTGTTACAGTCTAATCTTTTCCATCACATCCAGGAACTTAATATTCTTGCTGAAGAGCTAAGCTAAAAATGAATGCTTGATTAAACCCAGGGTAATCCCATCATCCAATTCAGATTTAATGTTCCATACACTTTGATGATGGAGAAGTGTTGATTTCTCAAGTGGTAAAATCTTTTTTTTTCTTAGAAAACATATTTTTGTAAAACCATTTCTTAACATGAAACTGAATCCTATAGGCTTTCCTTACTAGAACTTTTCTAGCTCATCTGGTTCCAAACTGTCTTGAGAGAAAAGTTGTTCTAGACTACCTAGGTTTGGGGCCAAAGAAATAGTACAGTGGATATGGCACTTGCCTTGCATGTGACCAGCCAGAATTTGATCCTCGGCATCTCATATTGTTCCCTATGCCCGATCAGAAATGGTTGCTGAGAACCATCAGGTGTGCTTCAACATCTCCAAAATGAATACCCTAGGTTTGAATTCGCATCTGTGAATTGCTTGTTACAGTATAAAATCATCTCATCTGTTTAGTACCAATCTCTTCACTTATTATGGTTATACCCTAACCCTTACATATTTTGTCTGTCTGAACATCAGTCTCATTGTATATTGTGTTATTATGGGCTGGACAGACAGTACAGGGTTAAGATATAAGCTTATACAAGGTGATACTAGTTCAAATCCCGGGTACCACATGTTGTTCCCTAGCACCACCAGGCATGAACCAGAAATAGCTCCTGAAAACCGCAAGATGTGGACCAAATTGCACCCTTCACTCCCAAATTAGTATCATTACCGAGTGGCATAATGCTTTCTATTTTATGTAATTTTATATGTGTGAAAAATAAAGAACTGTGATTAAAAGGGTCAGGTCAATATTTAGCATTAATGTTCGATTTTTTAAAACACAGCAGGAATAAACAGCTCTTCATAGTGAATTACTTCCAGCACTAACTTTTTTAGCTATACCCTAGCTGATTTGGAGGAATGTGCATTAATGTCAAGTTCATTTTTAAGAGACAGTCATGGAAAGATTTGGCTCAAGTTTCAAAAGGTCCAGCAATGAAGTGGATCTTTGGATAGCTGAGAGAGGAAAAGTTCTGAAGAGCCCCAATTAACAGATTCAGTTTGGCTGTATCAAAGGGGGAGGTGTCACACATCCTCAAGGAAACTTTGCACCAGTCTTGATCTATCAGATCTATTTCTCCTTCCAGGAGAAAACTGCGCTCTGTTAATAAGAACTAATTAGCAGTGCCAAGTCAGCATTATTAGCCCCTTTTTCAGCTCTCTTAGAAATATAGTTATGTCTTTGTCTTTGAGCTCTGAGCTCACTGCTCAAAAGCAAATTTTGGTCCATCCCCAGAGGTCCATATTCTTATTTCTTTGCTCTTAATACTCCTTTCCTACATTGTTGCTTTGGTACACCAACTCTTACCCCTGGCAGATCTGATTTCTAACTCTAACTCACCTTTTTCAACTTCACCACACCTTCCTGGGTTTCATAGTCTGTTGTGATTTCAAACAATTCCATGCCGTCTCCATCAACTATATTGTATGAGACTAAGCCATTCTCTCCAATGTCTGGGTCTTTCGCCTTCACTCTTCCTACTTCCTCCCCAGGGACAGCTGCTTCTGACACAGACATCTGGTATACGCCTGGAAGAAGAAAAATATCTATTTTTATTTTCCCTTTTATTTGGCAGCTGTACTATTTGAGATTTCATTGCATCCAATACATTTCTCAAAGGGTTTGAAATGGAACTTTCTAATGATTGAAAACATGAAAGGAATGAATGGATGGGAGGAGGATCCCACATGGCCTCTTGTCAAAGAAATATGTTCTACAAATGATGATGAAACGATATAGGATCCAGGGGTAATAAAGTCAGGTCACCCCACATATGTGAGAAAGGAAAACAGTGCTTATTTATATTTGCCATTGGGAAATGAGGGAGGACTATGTTTCTCTTTGTACATTTAAGTAATTAAAACTTTTCCCTCACATCTTCAGGATGGTTCAAAACTTAATTCCAAGGTTATTTATGGCATGGCCAGGTGCTCAGAAAAATAGACAAGAGAAAACCCCTTTTTGATTTTAAAATCTTCTAGTTTCATAACTGTTTAAAAAGCAAATGGAAACCATCCTATTTGATCATTTGAACATCATTGAGGTTCCTAATGTACATTTGATTCTCTTCTCCATTTCAAATTATAGCCCTATAATTTATATGTATTTATTATCTACTGGACACCAAATCCATGCCACATAAATATCTGCTTCCTAGATACTCAGTTATGAAAGAAACCATCAGAATTTCTCCTTAACATGGTACCCTAAGTGAAGAAAAGAACACATACTCTTCTTCATGGCCTTGTAGGAAGAAGATAAAGAACTGAGAGTATGGGTGTGGGGGATGTGTGGAGAAGGTAATGAGATAGTGCATGAGTATGTGGAAGCAATTGAGTATGGGTAAGTGGTAGGAAGTATATGCATAAACATGTGTCTGAGAGGATGATATTATGCAATAAGGATAAGAGCATGACTGTGTCCGAATGTATGGGATGCACTGGTATAGGAATAGGAGTATGAGGGTAAAGATGTATGTTTGTGTTAGATATGTATTGGTAAGAAGGACAGAGAAAGAGAGGAAGAAATTGATATTGAACAGAGTGATCAGAGAACACAGTTCTTAGAAAAGGATATCTGAATGCTCCAGATGAAACTGATCAAGAGATCATATGACTATGTGTGGGGGAAAAAATGTGGACAAAGGCAGCAGAACATGGCCAAACCCCTGAGATGGAAATTTGGTGAGTACTTCCCGAACCCTGGAAAGAGAACAGACAGCAAAGATGCTGTTTTCTGTGAAGAGATAAGGAGCCCAAATGGGTAACAAAAGAGCATCATAAGCGATGGAAAAGACTTTACCTTTGCTTCAACTTGGGGTGAAGTCATTGGAAGGTTTTGAATAGGCCAGTTGGATTTGAAGTGATTTTGTTTTGGGTCCCCAGAACTCTAAGAGCTCACTTCCGGATCTGAACTCAGGAGTTCCCCCCGCCCCCCGGACCAAGCTGAGAAAACTGTATGGAATACCGAGAAATGAACCCAGGTAGGCTACATGCAAGACAAGAACCCTAGCCTCTGTGCTGCTTCTCCAGTCTGACCTTATTTGCATTTTTATGTGTTAAAAAATTGACTATTTTTTCTCTTATTTTCCTTCCAATTTTTAAACAGCATGATTTACAATGCTGTTCTTTTAAGAAGGGCTAATCTCAATCAAGTTCTGGTACTCTGCTCATGCTAGGGGTCAAGCAGAGCTTGGGACTAAACTCAGAAATTGTACATTCTAGGCATATATTCCCTAATTATTGAGCTATCTCCTCAATCTGCATTTTCACGTTAAAAAAATTCTGTGTGGGGCTGGAGTGATAGTACAGCAGGGAGGGCATTTGCCTTGCATGCAGCCAGCCAGGGTTCAATCCTTGATATCCGTTGTGGTCCCCCAAGCACTGCCAGGAGTAATTTCTGAGTGAAGAGCCAGGAGTAACTCCTAAGCATTGCTGGGTGTGACCTCCCCAAAATTCTGTGTGATAAATCATAGAGAAACAAATTGTGTAAACCTTGCCTCTATCACTGAGGGTCTTGGGCAAATTACTTAAGCTTTATCTATTTTAAATTTTTAATGATTCTAGTACTCTATTTTTATGGGTACTTATAGTATTTGACTGAGAATATTTCAGTTTGGACCCATAGTCAACAAGATTTCATCATGTTGTCTATATCAAGGCCAGGTAGGAAGTTGGAGTCTCTGAATAGTTATCCATTTACATGAAGATTTAGGGAAAACTTCTGCTACAAACTTGTTTACCCCAAGTCTCAATTGAATTGAGGGCTAATGAACTGTATCTATCACAATGTAACTTTACTCTGTGGTTCTGTATGAGCAAGGGCATTAATAGTTCCTGCTAAGAATTCCACTTGCCTTTTTCTATCTTCCATACCAGATGAATTCATAGTGTGAACAATGGAGTATGAGTATTTTAGCAATACATGAGACTTAAACTAATCAGGAGTTGTTGATTCTGTGCCCGGTCAGGATAGCAGCCTTTCTCTGGGATCTGGTAGAAAGTAGTTGTGGTCTCACAGGTTTCTATTTGAATGTCCCTAAGGTTTGGATTGTTGTCTCTATATTCTTTTCTGTGATCGTGGTGCCTCTTCCTGGGGACATCTTTGTTTGCCTTCCTTGATTACTAATGAGCAATGTGTCATCTGCCTGGAAATAAACTTGCAAGCTGGAACAGTTACTCTTCTAACTTAAAAAAAAACACCTCCATGAGCAAATGCTAGCATCATTAGGACTATACTTCACTTGTGTCTATAACTATACATATATAAGCATACCTATGTTCAAATTCTGGCTTTGTTGTATTCTCTTATTGTTACTTTGTGGAATCTAGCTAGCTGTAAAATATAGGCTCTTGTAGAAATTTTTAATACTTACATCTAGTCATTCAATGATGGTAGTTGTTTTAATTCTAATCATTAATAATTATCCCACCCCTTTTTTATAGTTCTAGTGATTAAACTCAGGGCATCGCATGCAAGGCAAGTATTCTACTACTGAGTTAGAGTCCAAGTCTAAAGATAGACTTTTAAAATAATTTCTTCTCTAATGTTTCTCATTAGTCCTATAGGTGCTATAGAAGGACCATAAGGACCTCATGGGAAGGGGGGCGTTCCGGTCCGTCCTTCACGCCCTACCGAGGTCACCAGTTGCCCCCCACGAGCAGCTCTCCGGCACGGCCACGACTCCAGAGCACAGAAACCAATCTCTTAACTATCTAACTTTTAATATAAATACTTCCAGGGTTAATAAGTAAAATAGTAGAAATCCAAAACCGCACGGCCGCGATATCATTTAATTCTTAAACCCAGCTGTAGAGAGCAAATCATTTCACAACGCTCTTTCAGCGTGTCTGATTTGGGGGGTGGGGGGTCATAAACTCTAAATAATAATGGTGCATTTTTTATCGAAATAATGAATCTAGTCAAAGTAGATAGAGTGTTAACTAGAACTCATCTGCCTCACAGGAATTGGGAGGGTTGGGAAGTGGGGTTCTATTGGGGTTCGCAGTTAAAAATAAGTATTGTTAAAGGGAAATGTGTTTGATATTTACATGACTAAGACCTAAACCTGAAAGCTCTATAACTTTTCCCACAGTGATTCAATAAATAAATAAATTATATAAAAAATAATAATAACAATAATAATGATTAACATGTGTTGACAGATTATGTCAGGCACCATTGTAAGGTTTTTTTTTTTTTTTTTTTTTTTTAGATTTACAAATCTTTGTGCTTGAGTTTCGGTCATACAATGATCAAATACCCATCCCTCCACCAGTGCCCATTTCCTCCCACCCCCCCTCCCACCCTGCCTCTGTGGCAGGGCATTCCCCTTTGTTCTCTCTCTCCTTTTGGGTGTTGTGGTCTGCAAAAGAGGCATTGAGTGGCAATCATGTTCAGTCCATAGTCTACTTTCAACATGCATTTCCCCTCCTGGGAGGATCCTCCAAACACCTTTCATTTGGTGTTCCCTTCTCTATCTGAACTGCCCTTTCCCCTAGAATATCCGGCTGGCCTCTAAGTTATGGAGAAATCCTCCTGGTGTTGATCCCAGCTATTCTTAGATATTGATCTCATATTTTGTTGCTTTATATCCCCCAGATGAATGCAATTTTTCTATGTCTATCCCTCTCTTTCTGACTCATTTCTCTTAGCATGATACTTTTCATATTGTACCACTTGTATGTAAATTTCATGACTTCATCTTTTCTAAGAGCTACATAGTACTCCATTGTGTAGATGTACCAGAGTTTCTTTAACCAGTCATCTGTTCTTGGGCACTCAGGTTTCTTCCAGTTTCTGGCTATTGTAAAGAGTGCTGCAACCATTGTAAGGTTTTGCACTACCTAAATAAGCTCTAACAACATCTTAGTAATTATATCTTATTGAAGACTGTGTTTTTTTTAACAAATACCCTATATAATAACTCCAATCTTACATGATTTTCTTCAACATTACTTGGGTAGTTCTTCTTTAGAAACATGGGGTCTAGCAGAGCTCAACTTAAATTTAAGGCAGTTTTATCACTGTAGTGGAAATGATGCTATGTGATGTTCAAGTACAAGTCACAAAAGACAATGTAGTTTTGGTGAAGCTCTTGCTTCCAATACATATCCAATCCATTCCATGAAGAAATTTGCAAAGAGAGGGATGAAAGGCAAAATCCAACTTATCAGTCATGTGAGGAAGTCATTCTGGAAGTGACTCCTCAAGTCTCTTTCAAGATGTTCCTAGTTGAATCTGTGGAGGCAGAGATGCTTCTTTCTCACCGTTTTTCCCAATTTGCAGAATCATGACAAAAAATAATGATTATTACTGTTTCAGACCACAGAAGTTTTGGGTACTTTGTTACAAAGCTGATTCAGGTACTCTGATTTCCAGGTTATAAATGAGAACACTGAGACAAAAGGTTAATTAATTACCAGACTGACTCACTAGTTTCTAGTAAAAGATTGAACAAAATTGATTTTCTGTTTGTAGAGTCACAGGACTTTTAGCATCTCTTCTTTGTTCTCCATCTTAAGTGATGTTCTTTTTTCTTTGAAGGAAACATCGGTTTACAAGATTGTAAATGTTTGTATGTTTAAGGGCACAGCGTTACTGCCACACATCTTTGTTACTACTGTCTTGTTTTGAGTATTTTGAAAAAATGATATAAAAACCATGCATTTTTCTAGATGTATTGTTTGAATCTCAGTAACATGAGAAGGGTCAGAGAAGAGAGTGCTTGACATAGCAGCATTGCAAAGTGAAAGCCATGCCCACCTACTTACTCTGTGGAAACTTTGGTGGGTTGTCATTGACATCAGTCAGTGTGATCGTCACTTTGGTTGTCCCTGAGAGTCCACCCATGTGTCCACCCATGTCCTTGGCCTGGATCACTACGTGGTACTCCTCCTTGGCTTCCCTGTCCATGTTGGGAAGGGCAGTTCTGATGATGCCTGGTCAGGTAAGGAAGAAACATTATAGATACTCATTTATAATAACAACGACCAAATTAGGCATAGGAAGGAAAACTAATAAGGTAACCGTTCTCCCAGAAGTTTCTACCTTATGGTAATTAATAAAAAGCAGCCACACAAGGAGCATCATATTTCCTAGAAATTGTTGCAAGATTTAATATGGCATTAAGATGGCATATGTTATACATACTGGAGCATAAATTCAAATAATGAGCCCACTGTTCTCAGATATAGAACTGAAAATCCTTCAGACTTCAAAACTTAGGGTCCTGTGCATGAACAATATGGACAATGCATGACCAAACTCAAACTTTTGAACTGTCAGAAGAAACTATCACATGCTAATCTAAAGAAACATTTCTATGGGCCATAGAAGTGGGAGGTTGGTGTCACACAGTACATAAAAGTGCTAGTACTAATTTTTAGAAGAGTGAGCCAAATAGCTAAAATATTTTCACAATACTAAGTAAGCACTATCTACTACGAACTGTGTCTCAAATAAATAAATGAAGTACTGAGTTCTCTGCAGTCCCTGATTTTATACTGTGTATAAAAACCATGTGCACTCCAATCTCTTGGAAGTAATGTGCAAGCTCTTTCTATAGAAATAGCAACATTTATACTGGAAATAGAGCATGGAGGAAATGTTAAGCCCTTGTTCCACTTTTGGTGCTTCTACATTGCTCAGTAATATCCTTGAACATCCTGAGCCTTATTTCCCCATTAAAAAACTTTGTAGTTTCAAGATGGAGGTTCATAGCCATGAGTCCTTAAAACAGAGAATGTTACAAGTAGAACTCTGCCTTTAGTGTCATTACAAGACAAGATGAAATCTCACATTTATTCTTGATTAATCTGGGAAGGCTAAAAGGCAATGTATTTAATCAAGTCAAAGAACACACTTCCACAATAATTTGTGTTGTGAAGCAAAGTGGATACAATAAACAATTAATAGAATTGGAAGTGATGTTCATAAATAAGTGGAAGTTGTATCTGCTATCCAATCTAACTATCTCCTTGGCAGACTACAATAAACCTATAAATGTATCTATAAACATATATCAACATCATGTATACGTAACTATATAAATATAAAGAAAACATAAAAATATGCTTCCTATTAGATAAATACATGAAATTTAGATAAGTGACTAAAATTTAGCTATAAGTATATCAAATAATTTGTAAACATCATTAATGGTGCAGGGGGAATAATATAGGAAACATGGGTGTTTGGGGATAAAATTGTGGATTGTAGTTTCAAGGGATTTTAGCATCTGTCCTAATAAAGGATTTCTAGAATCAAATTTGGCCTTAAAAAAGAGAAGTATTTTGCTTTGGGTTGTTCCTTCTACTTCCTCTCTTGCTTGCTGTTTGGTTTCTGTGAAGTACTCTGAGCTTCATTCTGAATGTAGACGCCTGAGGGAAGTCTAGAGGTCAGCCCAGCCATTCGTGTTTTGTTTTATTTTATTTTCGCTTTTTGGGTCACACCCGGTGATGCGCAGGGGTTACTCCTGGCTCTGTACTCAGGAATTACTCCTGGCAGTGCTCCAGGAACCATATGGGATGCTGAACCCAAGTCAGCTGCATGCAAGGCAAAGGGCCTACCTGCTGTGCTATCGCACCAGCCCCCCCCCCCCCCCCAGCCATTCTTGACCATTGGCACCTACTCCCACCAGTCCCCTCAGGCTTCAGGAGCTACCTGTTCCTATCCTTCCTGTGTTTTTTATTTTTCATTTAGATCCAGAGTTTAAATTTAAAAGACTAAAAAATGAAGACTCAAGATAAATTCCTAGGCTTAGATTCAACTTTAAGAGCTTTTATTTAATATTCTTTATGTCTTGTGACATAATGAAATAAAGGCAGAAATAATAATATATGGTTAAATGTCCATACTAAATAGAATTTTCTCATTAAATTCAATGGCAGCTGGCTCATGGCAGGTGCCTACTTTGTGTCTAGGGCTCGCAAGCCCTCTGAGAATCTCAGTGGGAACACTGAGAATCAAAGGGCTAGAGTGAGCAGGCCTGGTTACCTTCTTTCCTCTGTGTTACACGTCACAAAGACAATGTGTAGTACCTGTCTGTGCTTCTACTGAGAAGTAAGGCTGTCCTTCCAGGATGCTGTATACTAACTTGGCGCTGTTCCCATAGGTGGGATCATCTGCGTCTGATGCCGTCACCTGGATCACTGACGTCCCTTAAAATTGAAAGAAAATGAATTAGCCCCACACACTCAGCTCTTTGGGTGGGGTTCTACTTTAAATAGTTTTACCCCAAAATTAAAAACAGAGCAGAACCCCATAACGATTCAGCATGTTGCTATGTTGAAATGTTATATAAATGCCCTTCCTTCTCACTTTCCCCTTTCTTCCATTCTTCCTTCTTCCCTCCCTCCCTTCTATCTTCCTTATGCCTGTATTTTTAATGTAAACATGCTCAGGCTTAGAAGATATCTCTAAGGGTTGATCCTCAGCAGTGTTATGTTCCCCAGCACTACTAGGTTAGCCCCGTTGGTCCCCAGCCCTGGCAGAATGAACTAGGTGACTTGAATACTAGTGGGGTTGTCTTGGTGGCTCCCAGCACTGTGAAGACCCTAGACACTTCATTACTGAACCAAAGCACTGGCCATCAGCCTGCAGTGCAAGCTTATCTCAAGGGGAGAGGCCCCAACCTCTACTGGGATACCACCCCCAACCCTGGAAGAGAACACTCTGCAAACAGAGTGTGTCCTGTTGTGTTTGCAGTTAAATAATAACATAAGCTTTGTTGCAAAAGCATTCTAAGACCATGCAATGGGAATGTTCAGTGTATCAAATAATTAAATAAAAATTTTCCCAAAGAGTATAATAAAGGGTAATTAATGATGAATTGCTTTTCGTGAAAGGACAGAGTGCACTCTTCCATCTGTAGCAGAGCAATAAATACATCATTTTATTGTTGCTTTGCTTGTAATAAAATGGCTGCTAATACTACATTTTAATTAATTTATGGCTATAAATATTGTACAGAATGTTGTTCCCTACTGGCATGAAAATTGCATCTTCCCACCTCTGTCGGGTCTGGTAGTCAAATAGCGGAAACCAGCAGCAGACAGCTGGTGAGCTCGAGGGCGTGCACTTGTGGGTCAGAATGCAAAGACATTTGGGAATTGAAGGAAGATGGGATTCTCGTTTTTCTTTCAAAAGGAAAGCTCTGTACTTTGCTGGTACAGTTATCTATGGGCAGGGCATGTTGGGCTTCAGAACTAGAGGAGAGATGGCTGGACGGTGAGAATTGGTCACTAGAGAATTCCTCTGTGCCAAGTCCTGTTGGGGGCATACTCCCTGTGTTTGCCAACATTTCTCGGCCTTTAGTTATACGTCCTATACTTGTGAAACAGTGAGAGTAAGAAGTATGAAGATTTGCGATCTATTTTGCAAAGTGGGTCACTACCAAAGTTGGGAGTCCCATCCAGCGGCCTCCACCAACCAAACCAAAGTTCTTCCTATAGTGCTTGAGAGCTTTTTTTCACCACATGCAAATCACTGGTTGCAACCTTGTAGGTGCATGGAAGGTTTTGACAATCTTTTAATTACATACAAGGTTGTCAGTGATTTGCGTGTGGCTAAAGAAAGCTCTCACATTTCTCTTCTGGAAGTCATCATCTTGTACATTTTTTTCTTTTGGTTTCTAGGCCACACACAGTGGTGCTCCAGACCTAATCCTGGCTCTGTGCCCACTTTAGTTGCACCTGGAGATGATATGTGTTACAAGGGTTTGAACCTGGGTTGACTATGTGCAAGGGAAATGCCTTACCCTCTGTACTATTGCTCTAGCTCTATTTGATGCAGTTTTTCCCAAAAAGCTCTTCCTAAATAAACAGGCACAATTCTAGAGGCATACAGAGGAGAATAGGATCTCTTATCTACCATCGTGCAATAGCTATGGAAATAATTAACTTTCTTCACTTAGATTACTACTAGAACTCCATTAAATACCTTATGGCTTTTGGTGTTTTATTTCTGTTTGGCTTAACCCTCATCCTAGAAAACTAAGAACAATGTAAGAATTGTGTGGTCCAAGACTGGGCTTTATTCTAATCCAGTACTCACAACAGTGGTGATAGAAATCCTAGATGCTATGTGGTACGAGCAATAGTAGAGCAGGTAGCATATTTGCCTTGTACACAGAGGACCTGGGTTCAGTCCCTGGCAACCTGCATATTTCCCCATGTATAGCTAGCAGTGATTTCTGAGTGTAGAGCCAGGAGTTAGCCTTGAGCACCTCCAAGTGTGCCCCCCCAAAATAATAATAACAACAACAAAGTCTAGATGTTATTCCAAAAATGTTCCAAATGATGGGGAAATTGAAAATTCTTCTAAAGTACCCCTTTTGGTAACCACTCCCGTCTTTCATGATTCAATGCCTGACACTATATATGGATTTATTTGATGTTCACTGTTTCTCATGAAGAAATTTCAATCCAATACCAAAAGATACAAAATTGAGCAGGGAAGAGAAAGAGAAGAGGCAATAAATGGTTTTGTCTGATTTATATGAAATATAAGCAGAGCTCAACTATACCTACGAGGCTGTGTTTAGTTTCACAGGCTCTGTAAAAAAAGTGAAAGCTTCTGACTCTAGCATCACTTCTGCTGCTAACCCATAAGAGCAGGTTGATTGCCATTCTTTACACTTGGCTTTCTCCTCTGTAAAATGGGTATCCTGGCCCTGGTGAGTCTTTAATTATCCTGAACTTTTAATCTCAGGTGCATATTACTACACTCATTCCTTAAGCAGAAAGAAAGAAAGAAAGAAAGAAAGAAAGAAAGAAAGAAAGAAAGAAAGAGAAAAAAAGAGCCTGCTCACAATTTGAAAGATAAATTTTTCTATAAAAAGCAAATTTCAGAGATGGAGAGATAGTTACAGTTGGTAGGGGGCTTGCTTTGCATGTGGCACACCCAGGTTCAATCCCCAGAATCCCATATGGTCCCCAGAACCCTCCAGGAATTATTCCTAAGCCCAGAACGAGGGGTAAAAAGTCCTGAGCACTGCCAGATGTGGCTCCAAACCAAAAACACTCAAAAAACAAGTTTCTCAAAGTCCAGAAAATTCCAAGTGAAGGCTTCTGCTAGCAGAAGATGGCTATTTGAAGAAATCTTGAGAGAAATATTTTACCAATTCAGTGTGTCTCTATAAAGAATGAAAAGTCATGCCTAACTGCTGAATTATTTTAATAGATGGTGACACAGTATCATGGTTAAGAGTGCTCTCTGGATCGACTTAATAGCTCAGATGACCTTAGGTAAATTAGTTAATCTGCTTCTGGCTTGGGTTTCCCATCTGCAAAATATGTCAAATAGGACTTATCTCATTGCAAAGACAAATCATTGCAAAATGAAATGCAATGGCGCATGTAAATCATTAATTAGGGCAATGCCTCCATGTAACAAATATCATCACCACTCTTGCTTACTGAGTAGCCACATGCCCTAGTGACTGACTACATATCATTTCTAAGCCCAAACACTAGAAATTGTTACTTCCATCTTACAGAGGAGGAAATTCTGACTAAGATAATAGACTGGTTCAAAGTTAATAAGCATCAAAGCTAGGATTACCTGGATTTAGTCAATGTATTCCCACTCCTCCATCCCTCCTCATCATTCTTAAGGTAGATTTTAAATCCTCAAGTTCTTTTGAAATATTTGAGATTTCAGCTACACATAAGAAATGCTTTTGTTTGCTAGTTGGCCATTGAAGAGATAGAACACATTCTACTCCCTGATCCGGGAGACTAGGCACCAGGCCACCCTCTCCCCAACAGAGACTGAGCGTAGAACAGGCCTCCCCAGCTATACACACCCACGTTAGACCTCTCTGGCACGTTGGCATGATATGTCTCATGCAGGAACTCAGGAGGGTTGTCATTAATGTCCTGGACCTTGACGATGAATTCTGATGGTGGCTCTAGTGGCCTGTTGGTGTCCCTGTCCACTGCCTGAGCCATCAGCGTGTACTGGGCTCTCTCCTCTCGGTCCAATGTCTTGGTGGCATGGATGTTCCCTGATTTGTCGTCAATCACAAAAATGGTTCCAGCTCCTTCACCTGAGAGAATGTATTTAATGTTCCCATCACCAGAGTCGATGTCAGAATGAAGCTAGGGAAAAAGAAACCAAGATTTGTAAATTCATGAGGGATTCAAGAGTGCTGTATGCTGTAAAAAGCTGAATGCAAACACACACACACACACACACACACACTTGTGCATGCATATACACAACCATAAAAAAAATGACATTTTTGAGAAAGTCATTGCCTTGTCTGAGGTCACACAGCAATGAAGCTAGGAATGCAAATATTTTTTCTTAATTCTAAACTTGATGCTTTCCTTCCACTTTTCCCACATATATGTGCAGAAACAAAATATAGACAAAATATTGATCAATTTTTGAAAGAAATATTGTGGATTATAAGAATAAAGTGAAAACATGTATGCATCAATTCTTTTCTATTCAATATTCTGTTCTTTCATGTCTCCAACTCAGAGACAAACGTTAGTATCAGTTTCTTGAAAATATTCTAAGCCAAGGTCTCTGCATATGCAAGAATATTTATACAGAAACACAAGCATTTCAGCTTTTGCATTTTGGGTCACATCCAGAAATGCTCAGAGTTTACTCCTGACCGTGAACTCAGGAATCTCTCCTAGCCATGATCTGGGGCCAGATGGGATGCTGGGGATTGAACCCAGGTCAGTTGCATGCAAAGCAAATGCAGTTTCCTGCAGCACTAACTTCCTTGCCCTCCTTTCTTGTCCAGTCTCTCTTTCTGCAGCTTTTCTTTTCTTTTCTTTTTAAATTGAATCACTGTGAGTACACAGTTACAAAACTGTTCATGTTTGGATTTCAGTAATACAATGTTCTATCACCCATCTTTCTGACAGTGTACATTTTCTACCACGAGTATCCCCAAATTCCCCCCTGCCACCTGCCAAATCCTATCATTCTGCCTCTATGGCAAGCATTTTTCTTCTTTCCTTTTAATCTGAATTCTTCTGCCCTCATAATTACCACACCATATTTGATGGGATTCAGACAGTAGGCAACAAAACCATACAGAGAAATATATATATATATATATATATATATATATATATATATATATTGGAGGGCCCAGCAAGCTACCAAGAGTATCATGCCTGCACAAGCAGAGCCTGGCAATCTCCCCATGGCATATTGGATAGGCCAAAAACAGTAACAATAACAGGTCTCATTCCCCTGACCCTGAAAGAGCCTCCAATCGTTGGGAAAGATGAGTAAGGAGAGGCTGCTAAAATCTCAGGCTGGACAGCATTCAGCCGAAGAGAAGGACAACATGGAGGGCAGGATCCACAGATCCCGAAGGAAAAAAAAAACAGGTTCCAAAAAGAGCCGAGATCATCGGGTAGCCCCAGATGGGGTAGGTACCGCATCCCGCCTCCCCCAGATGGAACCCCAGTGACCAGAAGCCTCTACAACCACAGCTCGAGTATGCGGGAACTAGGACTTTTCCTCAAAACCGTGCGGCCGCGGACATCTCTCTATATACAAAGTGATCCATGGGAAGTAAACCACCCAACGTTTCTCTCTGAAAATCATAGTTAAGTTTGGAGCACGGCCACAGCCCCAGAAACACAAGGACTTAATGCATAACCCAGCAGCTTGGAGCAGAAAAGTGAACGGGCTATGCGTTAATCCAGGACATCAAGACTGTCCGGAAGGGAAAGGGTATTGCCCCATTCGCCCTCTCCTCTCTGGAAAGAAAGATGGCGGCCACATGGGAGCCTTGTGGACAGCAGGCATGAGCCAGGGGAGTGGGGGCGACTAAAACCTCATGGGAAGGGGGGTGTTCCGGTCTGTCCTTCACACCCTACCGAGGTCACCAGTTGCCCCCCACGAGCGGCTCTCCAGCACGGCCACAGCCCCAGAAGCACAAGGACTTAATGCAGAACCCAGCAGCTTGGAGCAGAAAAGTGAAAGGACTATGCGTTAATCCAGGCCATCATGTCTGCCCGGAGGGGAAAGGGTGTTGGTCCCTTCCGCCCTCCTCCCTCTGGAAAGAAAGATGGCGGCCACATGGGACAGCCTTGTGGACAGCTGGTATGAGCCGGGGGTGTGGGGGCAACTAAAACCTCATGGGAAGGGGGGGCGTTCCGGTCCGTCCTTCACGCCCTACCGAGGTCACCAGTTGCCCCTCACGAGCGGCTCTCCAGCACGGCCACAGCCCCAGAAACACGAGGACTTAATGCAGAACCCAGCAGCTTGGAGCAGAAAAGTGAAAGGACTATGCGTTAATCCAGGCCATCATGTCTGCCCAGAGGGGAAAGGGTGTTGGTCCCTTCCGCCCTCCTCCCTCTGGAAAGAAAGATGGCGGCCACATGGGACAGCCTTGTGGACAGCTGGTATGAGCCGGGGGTGTGGGGGCAACTAAAACCTCATGGGAAGGGGGGCGTTCCGGTCCGTCCTTCACGCCCTACCGAAGTCACCAGTTGCCCCCCACGAGCGGTTCTCCAGCACGGTCACAGCCCCAGAAGCACAAGGACTTAATGCAGAACCTGGCAGCTTGGAGCAGAAAAGTGAACGGACTATGCGTTAATCCAGGCCATCAAGTCTGCCGGAGGGGAAAGGGTGTTGCCCCATTCGCCCTCTCTTCTCTGGAAAGAAGGATGGCGGCTGCATGGGAGCCTTGTGGACAGCAGGTATGAGCCGGGGGAGTGGGGGCGACTAAAACCTCATGGGAAGGGGGGCGTTTCAGTCCGCCCTTCACGCCCTACCGAGGCCACCATTTGCCCCCCACTAGCGGCTCTCCAGCACGGCCATGTCTCCAGAGCACAGAAACCAATTTCTTAACTATCTGACTTTCAGTAGAAACACTTCCAGGGTCAATAAGTAAAATAGTAGAAATCCAAAACCAACATATAATTCTTGAACCCAGCTGTAGAAAGCAAATCACTTCACAATGCTTTTTCAGCATGTCTGAATTGAGGGGTGGTAAACTCTAAATAATAGTGGTGAATCTTTTATTGAAACAATGAATCTAATCAAAGCAGATAGAGTGTTAACTAGAATTCATCTGCCCCACAGGGATTGGGAGGGGTGGGGTGGGGTTTTATTGGGGTTCTTCATGGTAAAAAATAAGTTTTGGTAAAGGGAAATGTGTTTGATATTTGCATGACTGAGACCTAAACCTGAAAGCTTTGTAACCTTTCCCACGGTGATTCAATAAATAAATTAAAAAAAAATTTCCTTGAAAGGCTAAAAAAATAAATAAATAAATAAATAAAAATTTAAAAAAAAAATCTCAGGCTGGGAGGAATAGAGACGTTACTGGTGCCAGCGTGAGTAAATCTAGAAACAATGGGATGACAGTGATACAATGATACTTCTGCCCTCATTATGCCCTTTGAGGAAAAAGATAAATATCACTTCCACCACTTACATTCAGTTTCAAGAATGACCTTTAAAACGCCTGGGTATGCCCATTACATGAGATAACTCACCTGAAAGCATAAAGCTTTAGTCAAATAACACTTATAATTGACACACATTATTGCCATTGAACTTTAGGAATGTGTATCATTAGGAATGTGTATCATTTGTATTATTAAGAATGATACAAATCATATCATTATCTATTATTATGAAACGATACCTAGATCTTACTCAGAGTCACAAAGCAAAATAAAACACATTGCTTTTTTAAAGATCCAATTTTACCAAGAAATATCCAATGAATTTACTGAGCCTCAGTGAAACAACAAATATTTCAGCTCAGGGTACAAGTCAGAAAGACCATTTGTTTTAGTCTAGAGTGCTCTTTGGTATGGATATGGGAAGAAAGGGACTCTCTTTCATTGTTGGTGGGAATGCCAAATGGTCCACTCTTTTTGGAAAACAATGTGGGCATTCCTTCAAAAACTAGAAAATGAGATTCCAAATGACCCCACAATACCACTTCTGGGAACATATCCCAAGGGTGCAAAAAGGCACAGTAGAATTGACATCTTCACCTGTATATTCATTGCAATACTATTCACAATAGCCAGAATCTGGAAACAACCCAAGTGCCAGAGAACTGATGATTGGTTAAAAAAATAGTAAATGTACACAATGGAATACTATGCAGATGTTAGGAAAGATGAATTCGTAAAATCTTCTTATAAGTTCATGGTCAGGGAGAGTATCATGCTAAGTGAAATGAGTCAGAATGAGAGGGACAGACATAGAATGACTGAACTCATTTGTGGAATACAAAATAACATATTATGAGACTGACACCCCAGGACAGTAGAGACAATGGCCATTGTTGGAAGCCTGTCTCATGAGCTGGGGGAGAAGGCAGCTGGAATAGAGAAGGGATCACTAAGTCAATGATGGTTGGAGGAATCATTCTGGATGGGAGATATGTACTGAAAGTAAAAGATCGAATGTGATAGCCTCTCAGTATCTATACTGCAAACCATAATGCTCCAAAGTAGAGAGAGTGTATGCAGGAAATTGTCTGCCATAGAGGAAGGGTTGGGAATGGGAAAATACTGGAGACATTGGTGGTAGAAATGTACACTGGTGGATGGATTGGTGTTTGATCATTGTTATGACTGAAACTCAAACGTGAGAGTTTTATAACTGTAGCTCATGGTGATTCAATAAAAAAATGAAAAAAAAGAAAAAGGCAAAAACCAAAACACAACAAGAACATACTTTCTTTCCAAGTTATATATAATAAACCATGTTATCACAAAAATTAAGGTTAATATTTTTGTGAGTAAAATGTGAAGCTAAATAATGCTCCAGCCCACCCCACCACCACCCCATGAACAGAATTTCTGCAAACTTATACAAGTTTCTCCAATGAAAACCTTTATTACACATAAGTTTGGGGAGCTCTGGAGAAACTGAATAGATTTTATTTATTTCATGATCAATGAGATCAATGAAACCTTTGAAAAACATATTACTCCTGATATCTGCTTTTTTGTTTTCAGCTATGAAAGTTGCATAGCAATTGCTTCCCTTTCTCCTCCTACACAGATGACCAGTGCAACTGAGGAAATCAATTAGTTTCCACACCAAAAGGAGTCTGGGAAACCATTCAAAGCAATCAAGGGACCCAGGGTTGAGGCAGACACAGCCCAGCCCTAAGTGCATTGGCTGCCTGGTCCCCCTCTGTAAAACATACTCTGTATTTTGTACCAGACAGCTGAAGGCCCCAGCTTTGCCAAATTTCAGTACTTATTTATTTTACTTCATTTTTTTAGCCAGAGCACCTAGGGTGCTGAACCTTGAAGGTTGTAAACTCAAAGTTTCTTAGGTATCAAGCCATGTATATCTATCATCTTGCCCTAATTATGGGGAACTGGGTAGCAGCATTATCTCCCAAGGGAGCCCCATGGAATCCAGCCATTTTCTTTCTTTAACCCCGACCCCAAACTGCTATGTGACTCCTTTTCAGGGACCTAGATTAAAAAATTCCTCACACTTTCCTTCTCTGCTTTCCTTATTCTCCCGTTCTGTAGGCATGACAACTGCTTGTTCCAGAGAGAGGCTGAAATTGCTCCCCACTCTCGTCTCTTCTGCAATCCCTGTCACTAGCACACACACACACTGCTCCCCACTGCTGAGAAAGTCCCCAAGGCAGAGGTTCTATTTTCTCAGAACAATTCATGCACAGCTCCCCACATTGTTCAAGCTGCACAGCCCCTGCCCTGGCTGAAGTTCCTTCTTCCTTTCTGGGCATGGAGCCCATCTTCTCAGTGTAGAGGTTTCTACATGCCAATTTGTTTCTCTGTGTTCCATTTCCCAAGTCTACTTCTATTTTGGGTATGCTCTTCCCATTCAGGGAATAAGCAAAATTCCTTTGGTGCATCTCTTCGAAGAGATGTGTCCCCCACCTTGGACAGTAGGACTGGGATATTAAGAGGAACCTCCTCCTGAGAAGTCAATTATACAACTCTGCAATGCAGCTCTCGGCTTAATGAACAACTATGAGAACTTTCTCCAAATCTCTGAGAATCAGATCTTAGCACCCCTCCAGTGGACTCACCTCTTTCCCCTTCACTGTATAATCCTTGATTATATTTCAGGCCACAGTTATTTATTTATGTTTGGTATTGTGAGTCACACTGCCAGTGCTCAGAGCTTACTCCTAGCTCTTAGCTCGTGGATAAATCCTGGTGGTTCTCTGAGGACTATAAATCATGATAAGGATCGAACCAGATGGGTCATGGGCAAAGCAGGTATCTAATCCCTTATTTTATCTCTGTGGCTCAAATTACTATTTTAGTTCTCCATGAAACCTTCCTTCATTCCTCCCAATATCCATCTTGTAAATTCCAATAACTTTGCAATGAGGTTCTTTATTAACCCGCTTCTCATTTTTTGTATATTTGTGTGTCTGCATGCATGCCCACACTTGTTGTCATGGCTTCACATCTGTTTTTCATTAATGTCTGAATTCTTGCAGCCAAGGGCTGTTTTAGCCTATCCTTCCTTTTACTAGCTCTGCTCCTGCACATGGTGGGGTTTCCATCCTTCTGTATGTGGACACGTGGCTCCTTCACTATCTGGACACCCAGATAATAACAGTATCCTCTGTCTATCCTCTGCCTTACCACAAATGATCACAGGCACTCAGAGTTTCAGATGTGATTTGCCTTCTACCTTGTTTCGAAGGGAGGATATGGAGAATAGTGCCAGAGTGCTCAAGCCTTCCCAAGTGCTTTTTGCCATCCTTAAGCCACTTAAAACCCCACTTATTCTCGCAACACAGCCACTCATCTTATGAAATATTTACAGAGACTTTCTACATGGGAACACTGGGGTGATAGTGTTCCAAAGGGCAAGGTGTTTGGGATTCTTCTGCAAGAGACAGACAAACATGCAAATAAAAACAGGATAGTGATGACTTTGAAGAGGACAGAAGATTAGGAGAACATAAAGGAGGGACATCAAGGTTGGGGTTATGGTGTGGAAGGGAAAATGCTCCCTGGTGGGAAAGCAGAGATAACCCTAATGATCATTTCAGTTTATTGGTAAATTCCATTTCCCTTAAAAATGGAATTTCTGTAGGGCAACAGTAAGTGGACAACAGTTTCTTTTTTTTTTTTCTCTTTTTGAGTCACACCTGGCGATGCACAGGGTTTACTCCTGTCTCATGCACTCAGAAATTACTCCTGGCAGTGCCTCAGGAATCATATGAGATGCTGGGGATCGAACCCGGGTCAGCCACATGCAAGGCAAATACCCTACCCGCCCTGTTATAACTCCAGCCCCAACAACAGTTTTCTTTATATGGATAAGTACATGCATTAAAAACGGATAACAAGGTTGGGAGGATGGATGAGAAATGGTTTTAGCAATTCTGCAATTTTTTTCTCAGATGGCCAAAGTATAGGGATTTCCTGCCTAGATTTATTTTTTTTATCTATTTATTTTTTATTTGTAGTCCTTGGATGCTCAAGGCCAGTCCTTAACCATGGAGCCATCTCCCTGACTATCTTTTCCGTGGGTTTGCCATGAGTTCGCCCTGCTCTCAGAGGTATGGAGAGGGTTGGATAGATAGCGAACAGCAGCAGCCTTACCCTGCCCACCAGCACTGGGTCGGGCCCGGTGTACTCCTCGATGACAAAGAACTGGTTCCAGACCCAGCCTCTCTTGGAGCGCTGCAGCACCTGCCCTTCCTTGCCCTTCTCATGGTGCCCGTGGAACGAGGGTCGCAGGTGGCTCCGCCGCTCCGTGGTGAAGGCCTGGCTGTGGCACAGCACGCCCAGACACACCAGGGCGGCTTGTAAACAATAGTTCTCCTTCATTTTTTGGTTACGTGGTAGGCACAGGAGAGAGAGAGAAGGCAGCTGTCACCCCTTCCACCCTACGGGGGGCGCCGCCTGTCGGATCGGTGGCCTCCCGACGCGTCACGCAGACCTCTCTTGGCGTGCACCTTCTCTCCTGGCTGAGCACATCACGTCCGGGCTGCCCGTTTCCCCACTCGGCTTCTGCAGGCAGAAGGAAAGGTGCGATTAGCCACACGCTCCGCCCGCATTTCATTGCAGTGCCATTGGACTGAGGGAATCGGGGGAGAGCCTTCTCAGGGTCCGAGGTGACTGAGAGAGAAACAGCCCCCCTTCTCTCCTCTCACCGTGTATCATCTGTGGGTGAAATAAGCGCATGCACGACCCCTCCTCCCCCCCACCCAACTCCAGGTCTGACAGCAAGAGAAAAGCGTGTGCTGTGGATTTCAAGTGCTAAGGCCTGAGTGTTAGGGTGCCACTTACTAGCTGAGAGGGTGGGGGAAGTCCACCGACTATCCAGCTCAGATGGCTCCTTTATGACCTTCTAGGGGGATTAGAATCATATCACTACAAAGTACCAGGGCAGATACATGAGTCATGCCTCTAAGTCTCTCAGCATCATGCCAGGCATGAGGGAAACACTTCTTAGCCATCTATTAGTGTAACCAATCATAGCTGTGTCTGAAAATATTTTGTTTATTTAGGGCCCACACCTGATGGAGCCCAGGCTCTGTATTCAGGGATTATTCCTTTCCATGTTCACGGGAGCATATGTGGTCTGGGTTTCAAACTAGAGTGGGCTGTGAGCAAGGCAAGTGTCTTAACTCCTGTGCTATCCTTCTGGCACTTCTGGGAGTATATTTTTTAACCTTCCCTAGAATATCATGAGAGTCCAGAAGAAGGAGGAGGAAGCAGAGCATGCATAGATATGGTGCAGAAAAACCAGGAAGGAAGGGTGCCTAGGTTAGACCCTGAAGCAAGAGAAATTGATATGAAAGGAAGAGATGGGAGGACATAGCATCCTCTCCTCCTTTCCATCCACTACAGTTGGAGCTATAGCTCCCAGAGCCTGACAATCCCAATATCAGCCCAACACTAATGTGAAAGAATCTCAGAAAGTCACTGGACTGGGATAATGATACATCAACATAGAAGATTACACTTTATTTCAGCACTGATGGGTCTAACTGAAATTGCTGTGCTTCCTGACCACTATAGAATTAAAAGCCATTATGTAATTCTTTTCTATCTAATTTGGAAAAGGTGAGAGATTGAAGAAGGGAACAGGAATGAAGATGTGTTAATCTCCACAAAATGGAATATACCTATATCTGGATATCTGATAGACATGGGTTATAATACTATATCTATGTGTAAGAACATGAATGAGACAGGATAGGCCAACCAGCACTCTTAACCTCTATTCTCTCATTGAAGCAATGAGTATTCCAAGAACTATTTCACTTACACACCACACACACATACACACACACATACAGACATCCTGGCTGAGCACATCACGTCCGGGCTGCCCGTTTCCCCACTCGGCTTCTGCAGGCAGAAGGAAAGGTGCGATTAGCCACACGCTCCGCCCGCATTTCATTGCAGTGCCATTGGACTGAGGGAATCGGGGGAGAGCCTTGTCAGGGTCCGAGGTGATTGAGAGAGAAACAGCCCCCCTTCTCTCCTCTCACCGTGTATCATCTGTGGGTGAAATAAGCGCATGCACGACCCCTCCTCCCCCCACCCAACTCCAGGTCTGACAGCAAGAGAATGTATGTCTGACACACACATACAGACTTACACACCACACACACATACACACACACATACAGACATCTAGAAGCTGGGATAAGAGGGTACTGGGATGATTTCTTTAAGAGAAAAATGGAGGGTAAAAAAGTTACATGTGGAACCTATAGACAACTGGATTTAGCAGCCTAGAATTCTAACAAGGGTATTGTTGACATCCTAATTTGTTGGGACAGACCTCTTTCCCTTATGGTGGCCTTTGACTTCATCAAGCCAAGTCTCCTTCCTTTGGAAAATGACAGGATGGCATCTGAGGAGGTTACAGATGTAGAGTTAATATCAAATTTCAGGTGTGCATCATTGTTCTCAATACCACCTCTTACATAGTGTATAGTTGAAGAACAGGGAGTTGAGTTTGATATTTGTTATATATAGACATTTCAAAATGTTAAAAAGCTATGTGAAAGAGAGATTTACAAGGCAATGTCATGATTTAACAGCTTCACCCTCTGACTTGGACAGATTAATAAAACATTGCATGAGATTTCCTGTAAGCCAAACTGACTATGTGGAAAGATCACAGACAGAAACAGTGGGTCACAAAAGGAGATAGAGAAAGAAGATTGCCTGCCATAGAGGCAGAGTGGGGGGATCCATAGGGAGGGGGGTTTTGGGGGACAGTGGGAGGGAAACCAAGGACATGGGTAGTGGGAAATGTACACTGGTGGAGGGATGAGTGTTGGATAATTGCATGACTGAAACTCAATCATGAACAGATTTGTAATGGTCTATCTCACAGATATTCAATTAAAAAATTTATGAAAGAAACTTAGCATGATCTAAAATTTAGATTCTAAAATGAAACAACAGGAAAATTCCTGGACTAGAATTGGGAAGGTGAGGTTGTGGTGGAGAATCTGTTGTGGGCTTGCTATAGACCTCATCAGCCCTGCAGAGGTGGTTCTGCCTTATGCCATGCAAAATGAATCCAGGGCATGTCACTTTCTATAAGCAGGTCCAGTTTCATAATTCTGGGTAAAGTGTTGGTATGATATTATGTGGCATTTAATTGATTCCTTACTAGACCGGATGCTACTTAATTCACAATTACATGTCAGGTGCCTGAGCTTTTCCAAAGAAATCTGGGAGCAAAGAGTTAAATGTGTGATTTGAACTGTGGTTCAAGTTCAAACTTGAGATTGCCATCACAGAGGCTCCAGAAGAAGAAATAGAAAGGAAAGAGCATATGGTATACCACAATCCTTACCCATTTTACACCATGCCAAGTATTAAGTGTTCATTCACATGGTGATAAATTATTCTTGCATATAAACTGTGAAGTGTATTTGAAAGAAGGGGTTTAATTAAAGTTGGTATTTCTGCACCTCTTTCTTCTGGCTGCCATTTTGCTGTAAAGCACAATTATTTCTGACACTGAAAGTGTTGAAACCAGTTGACAACTTTTTTCCCCTTTATAAACAAATTCTACTTTTAATACTGATGAATTTAAGAATTCCCACATGACCAATAAACAATGAAATTCTCTCTTTGTAAAAATGATGAATCTACTTCTTCTGATGGAAAGGCTAGCAAAACAAATTTTTAAAAGTAATATATTGGGTTCATTATTTGTAAATGCTTGTATGATTGTATATAATATGTATCGTTAGATAATTAATCTCAGATATATATAAGACAAATTTGATGTCTTGAGATTCATCATATATGTGTATATTATACATTTTCTTTGCTTTTAGAATAAGATTTCTTTAGCTTTCACTAGGCATTATTCTAATAACTTTAAGAGTGATGATTTAGTAATTTCTCAAACAAAGTGGTGAATCTGTATTATGAATTTTTTGATTCTATGTGATAAGGAAATTGAATCTCAGAGAAAATAAAGCAACTTGTGCAAGATTTACTCCTGGTAACTAACAGAGCTGGAATCTGAAAGCATGCCATGACTCTGGCATCTATGTTTTTGTTTTTAATTTAACTTAATCTTTTTGGCTTTGGGATCCCACCTGGCAAAGCTCAGGGATTACTCTAAGAAATTGTTGCACTAAGAAATTACTCCTGGCGGTGCTCAGGGAACCATATCTGATTCCAGGGATTGAACCCAGTTTGGCATCATGCAAGAAAAGCACTATACCAGTTGCACTATTACTCTGACTCCTGGCATCTGTGCTTTTAAGCAGTGAACAATACCAACTCTCGCTAACTGTTGTGCCTAAAGTTCCCAAGGAAATTGTATGGACACAGTAACAAAATAATCATGTTCAGAGTCACCAAGAGCAAATAAAATGTAGATTCTAGTTTACAGTAATAGAAATGTGACAATGGTAAAAATACTAATAACAGTAGGCATTTTAATAAGGCTTTCAATGAGTTTACAAATGATTTCATGATCCTACCATGATCACTGTTGCTATTCCCTTTCTACAAGTAGTCAGAGACACAATACAATCAAGTTGTCCAGGCTGGCAAAACCATAAGAGGATGGGATATAGATCCTGGAGGTTTGGTTTCAAGATCTGCACATTATTCCCTGTAATCTTGTAAAACTGCTCTATAAGAAACACTGAGATAAGGCATTGTACAGAAACTCTGCCATTAAGTGCAACAATCAGAAATATTTCTACAATCTAGCAATGGTCACAGTGAAAATGAAAGCAAGGCATCAAACCAGTGCATCAATAATATAGCATGGACTGGAGTGACAGTACAGCAGGTAAGGCCCATGCCTTGCATGCAGTCAGCGCAGGTTCTATGCTCAGCATCCCATATGGTAGCCCGGACACTGGACACTGCTAGAAATAATTCCTGAGAACAGAGTCAGGAGTGACCCCTGAACATCATCTGGTGTGGCCAAAAAAAAAAAAGCTATTGCACAAGCTCATTTCTCTATTTTGATTAGCATCTCAACCAGGAATGATGTTCTCTCTTGCTTTTTCTCTTTCTAAAACACACACACACACACACACACACACACACACACACACACACACACACACAGCACACACAGCACAACAATATTCCTCCACAATTGTTATGCAAAAGCTAAGATCTTTGCTTTTTAATTTTAACTTGACCTCCCATTTAAGGATATCAAAATGCATAGGTTAATGGAGATTAAATTTTATTATTATAAGAAATATTTCTACAATCTCAATGCCTACATATTCAGTGGTAGAGTTGCAGGAATTAAGCATGAAAACTAATGGGAGACTGCTTTCCTAAGAAGGCCTTGACGTTGGCAATAATTAGGGAAATATATCGATGTTCTAATTGGTTTGAACAAAGACCCCCGAGGTAGTTTTTGAACAGTTCTCCCATTAAAATCTTTTCGAGCAGTGTGCCGGGATGTCTAAACATCAGGGTTTCACTAAAACATATAGGAGGACTTTATTTTATGATGGAAGCACATTGCTTGGAAGGCAAAATAAATGTTG